TATATAATAATAGAGGGCAGGAATTTTGAGCAAAGATGAGGAATATTAAGCAGTAGTTGGACAATTTGGCCTATACATCACCTGCCCTAGTAATTAAACAAGGCATGTGTGGTAAACCAACATAGTTTTAGTTTCTTCTGTTTCTAATCCTTTGGATAGTCATAGCTACCAGAGAGAGAGAACATTACTCCTAGAACTGTAGCATTGACACAGGTTGAATATCAGCTCAATACACTGTGGGTAAAAAGATATTTTCCCAAACTAAGCTGGCTTTCTCGTATCACATGGATTTAGGTCCAATGAAACCTATTTCTCCTTGGTAAGAATGGTTATGTTTCTTTTCAGCTTCTGAAATTTCCCAAACTAGCCTCTTCAGAGTGAGTGTGTGCTTTTCTAATTAAAGCACAGCTATTTCTTTCTGCGTTTTTGAGATCTCTTCTTAAATATCTTCACTCAGCTAAAATAATTTAAATGGTACCTTCAAAAGAGAGGTTGATGTATGTGAAGTGAAATTCAACTAAGACTCTAATGGGGCATTTGTAAGGATGGTGCGCTATATTTTCTTTTCACAAAGGATAAAGAAGACTTTTCCTTCATTGTTAAAAATCCTGATTTTACAGGCTCTTACCTTTGATCTAGATCACCAAAATAATTACTCCCAAATTTGACTGTTGATAAAATAAAATATAATTTTATCTGAACCACTTGAAAATACCTTCCATTATTCTATGACTTACAGTTTCTGGACAGTTTGGGCAATATTGTTTCAGGGAGACAAGGTGCCCAGATAAGTGTATTTGGATAGAGATGCGAGCATAATTCAGATATTCACAGATCATATTAGCATTTCTTTATTACTGCCCATCTTCAAATGCTATAAAAACATTGAGCTTATGAGGGATGAGGAAAAGATTGAGAAATACCACAATTCTGTGTGTAACTCAAGCCAAAACATACTTTAACCTCAGTCCATTCCCGGCAGAGACACCAGTGGCCTGAACTATCCAAGCTATTGACCTAACACTGACACATTCCAAACTCTTGATCATCTTCTTGAGAGGGTGCAGGCTCTTCTTATTATCTGTTTTTTGGTTTTTGTTTGTTTTGTTTCCTTTTTTTTCACATGCAAGACCCCTGAACCACAGGAGTTTAAGGAGTTTTCTTGGTGTGTGGCGAAACCAGGGTCACTCTGCGGTGGTGTATTGCCTACCAGGAAACATTCCAGAGTCAAATCGAAAAATCAATCAGACTCAGTTCTTGTTTCTTTCAGCTATCTAAGCAAAATGCCAAATAGCATTAAAATTGCATGGCCTACTTCTTTGGAAAAAATATTTTTAGGAGTAAAAAGTACTTCATTGTAGAGAAAATGAAAGAGACTTCCACTCATCCTTATGTCCCAATTGATACAATGAAGTTGGGATTTGATTTGCAGAGGATCCCTTGAGCAGTTGGCCAGTAAAACCTGGACCCATTCTGAGAAGTTAGTTGTCTTCTCTTTTGCTGTTCAGGATGTTTTAGAGCTGGGCACCAAGGGAGAACAACCAGAGAACAATAGCGTTAAGTTATCTACCTTTGGGCCGGGACAGATTTTCTTGATGTGTGTGTTTTAAAGATACAGTTTCACATTCCCAAATAGATATTGCCACTCCACACCCTCTACTAAACTCTCACAATTTGCCACAGTCCCTTCCCTCTCTAACCTTCTTCCCCTTCCTTTCTGGTAAACACTTTTGCATTCATAGTTCAAGGATGCCTTCTTTCACTTTGCCTTTTCAACCTTGTTTAGGTTTCTTTATATCCCACACAGGTCAGATATACTGGTACAACACCTGCAGTTCCATCCATATTTTTGGATGGAAAGGCAATAATTCATCTTATAACTGAGATAGTGTATCTGCTCATCTGTTGCTGGACATCTGAATTGTCTCCATACCTTTGCTATTGTGAATAGTACCACAGCGAACACACCCATGCATAGATCTCAAAATCATGTTTTTGTGTTCTTGAGATAGATTTCTAGAAATAAAATTAATGGTCATGTGGTAGGTCTATTTTTAATATTTTAAGAAATAACCATAATTCTTTCCATAGCGGGTAGACCAATTTATAACTATGTGCTGGGGTTCCTTTTTCTCCACACCCTCTCCAGCCTTTCCTGGTTTTGGTCTTTTTTTTTTATGTAGGTAATTCTGACACATTCTTAGACATAAAGTTGATAGAGGGGTTTTGTGACCTTGAATTCTCCTCTCCTCTCTTTTCCTTTCCTGTCCTATCTCCCACCTTTCCTATTCTTCCCCTCCTCTCTCCCTCCTCTCTTCTCATTTCTCTCTTTCTCCCCCCTTCTTCCTCTCCCTCTCCCCCTACTTGCTCTCTTCTCTCCCTTCTCTCCCTTCTTGCCTTCCCTTTCTCTTTCCTTGCTCTCCCTCTCTCCTTTCTTACTCGGTCTCTTTCTCTCCCTCTGTCCCTCACCTCCTACTCAATCTCAGCATAATACATTTGGCTTCCACTGCATTGAGGAATGCCTGAGGATGCCAGGGTAACACCCTCTATGAGGATGTGCCAGAAGCCAAAACCATGGCAGAGAAGTGGCTGGAAAGGTGAACAAAGACATTACCCCTGGCCATGTCTCCTGAGAGGGCAAGTAAAAACATGATGAGGAATATCCTGCATACCCCCTCTCTGACTGCACATTTTCAGGGAAGACAGCAAACTTGCTGTCTATCTCAAGTTTGCTCTGAGCCTCTTGGAACATTCACAAAGGTTGTCTCTGTACCAGTGAATGTATTCAGCCCTCATTTCTGTTTAAAGAGATCTAGCAAAATCATTTCCTTGGGTTAACTCTCTAAGAAGATATTTATCTCCTGCATGTGTTTCATCCTCCGGCTGTTCTTGACCTTGGGTATGTAGAGTCAGGAGTGTTTTGATACCAGATGTAACCTTTTGGCTGGGTAAAAGGAACTGTGGAGAGAAGCGGGGAGTGCATGTGGAGACAGCATGCTGGAATATACACTCACAACACCCCAAACATACCCAAGAATAACAAGAACATTAACCACTGACCCAAACACTGGTGAAATTCTATCTCTACATCTCTCTTAACCAGTAAACATGAAAATGCCATCTCTACAGGGATGGATGATACTTCCAATAAGAGGTCCAGGGAGGCAGAGGGAAAGAGAGCTGGTTTGGGAAAGAAGTCCAGCAACTTCTACACTGCACAATCACTAGAAAATTTTCCCCAAGTGGCAACTAAGTAGAGACTTGTTTTTACTAACTGGGAAAAATATCAAACTTGAAATTTTCCTTTTTTGAATAAAAATCATTAAAGTTTAAGAGTGGTGTAGATATTTTTTTCTTTAACCATTTCCATCCCTTCATCCTTGCCTCATATCATTCTTCTGCCTTTGCTCCATACCAGCCATGCTCGACCTTCCTGCCAACCTCACTGGTTGTCTTTCTGTTCTTTAAATACACCAAGTTCATCTTTACTTCAAGACTGTTTTATTTGCTGCTACTCTCCTCTAGAATGTTCTTCCCCAGATCCTCATTGTAGACTAATATTTTCTTATTCAGATCTATTATCTAAAGTGACCTTCTCAGAGAGGTTTTCCCTGTCTATTGTTGTTCCTAGCTGAACTCTATCATGTCCTTATTTATTTTCTTCTTAGTAACATGATTTTCAGATCCAATTTTATTTATATATGATATATATATATATATATATTTGCCTCTTTGGGTCACACTTGGCAATGCACAGGGGTTACTTCTGGCTCATGCACTCAGGAATTGCTCTTGGCAGTGCTCAGGAGACCATATGGGATTCTGGGAATCAAACCCATGTTGGCAACGTGCAAGGCAAACACCCTACCTGCTGTACTATTGCTCCATCCCCTATGTAATATATTTTTTAAAATGTGTATTGCCCCCAACTTGATGTACACTGTAAGAGTGTAAAGCCTATGTCTGTTTCATTCACTTCCTTGTCTCATATTCCTAGAACTTGGTTTGCATTTGTTGATTGGATGGATGGATGGATGGATGGATGGATGGATGGATGGATGGATGGACAGATGGACGGATGGACAGAGAGATGGATGGACAAATGGATGTATCAGTAGATGCATAGATTACTTACTGTAATCAATACTTTGGGTCAAGTTAGCCGGATATTTTGATCTGTTACCTAAAACACACATTTCAGGGCCCCTGAGATATTACAGTGGTAGGACGCTTGACTAGCACTCATCCATCCCAGGCTCAAGATCCTCTGAGCATTGCCAGGTGCAGCTCTGGAAGTCCCAAGCACCACCAGGTATGATCCTTGAGGCCCCCAGCATCACCAGGGTGGCCTCCTGGGTAACCCCACTGCCACAGAACCCGACAGTATTGCATCTTCAGACCTTTACACTAAACTGTGAGCTGAAAATTGTCTGTGGGGCTCCCAGATCTCCTGAAAGAGACTTTGCTAGTGTCCTTACCCCAACAGAGATAAACTCTGAACAGTAGGGCCATATCCAAAGTGAGAGCCATTGACTGAAATGTAAGCACAAAAGTTCGTAAGTCTGTAACTGTATCTTATGATGATTCATTAAAAAATAAAAATAAATGAAACAACAAAAAAAAACAAAGTGAGAGCCATTAATCAGATGAAGCTGTGAGACTGAAGTCATCACATCATTCTACTTCTAAATGAACATTATACTCCTTCTGAATGCCATTTTTGGGTTGGTTATGCTTTAGCGTTTCTGAAACAGTCCCTAATTCTTTAACCCCCAGAAACTTCTCGGTCAGCAGGCTAAGGAAAATTTGCTAATGATTTGACCTTTAGAAGATGGGCAAACTAAGCCATAGAAATTTCACATAAGTTGGGAATACCATCCTGGCTCAAGGTCAACCACTGCAATTGTTCTTGCTCTTGAGTTGAAAGTATTGTTTTGGATAACATTTCTTAATCTCGTTTCCCCTATTTATCTGTTTGCTTCCTTTTCTGTTTGTTTTAGAAGAATCTTAATGTGGAAAGTGACTCTTCATCAGGAATCAACTTTCCTCGCCCTAAAGAAGTGCCAGGGGAACCGCTGGATCACCAGGCCACACACCAGCCCTTCCCCAGACAGGGGTTTCGGCAAGAGCCTGGACACCCTTCACTGCAAAGAGACGGCCCCAGATCCTTTCTCCTTGATCTTCCCAACTTTCCAGATCTTTCAAAAGCTGATATCAATGGGCAGAATCCAAATATCCAGGTAATGCATGTTAGCAGGAAGATAATTTGGGCACAAAATCCTCATTTAGGATTTGGCTTCTCTCTTCCCTTGTTCTTCCCAGAGCAGATTTCCATGATGGCTAGGAATCTCTCCCTCTTGGGCAACGTAAGCTTCTTGGCAGCAGCTGTTCTCGTTTGGCTGCTTCCATACTGTTCAGTTTTGTTCTCCATTATTTTCACCTGCGGAAAGTCAACTTTTCCTATTCTTGCTCTCTGCATCAAATTCCACTTAGCTTACATGGCAGAAGTTCCTCAACCAGAACTCCTGGCCCTTAATTAACAGTATCTGGAGATGAATGCTCTCTACATGCCACTGTTTGGGGTCAGATTTCCATGACCTCTGTTGTTTTGCTTATAATGCCAGTGTCCTGGTGGCTGACAAACATCACTATTAACATACATCAGATAGAAAACACTGACCAGCCCCTACCTCATATAAATGCCATGCCTGAAACTTTCAAAATCTATGATCTCTACCTTCACCCAAAATGACCTAGGTATTAAGATCCCAGACACCTCTTGACAGTGAGTGTCAAAGGCTCCTAGTGATCCATAAGAGGAGAAAAAACACTGAATTCCACAAAGGGCAGATCTACATGGACAGGCAGATGTAGGGCAGTACAGAAGTGCAAAGGGCTTTGGAGGTCACTCTTTGACAACTCATGTGCAGAAATCACTGCACGCCCCAGTTATTATTTCTGATGAGTCTTGTATTACTCCAACTGATGAATTAGAAAACTAGTCTTGCTGCTTCACTGCCCTCCTGCCATGAACAGGCCATACAGCTCTCCAATAAAGTACAAAAGACCACTTTGAGAGGTACAGACTGGGAGAGAAAATAACTGTTGCTTAGTATTGCTTCTTCTTCCTCAGGAAGTGATTTCTCCCTGCTTATACATTTTATAGTTTCAGAATCAGCCTGCCCTTACCCCAAAGGTGCTTAGAACATGCCTAAAGCAATTTAAGGCTTGTGGCTCACATCTTTCCCAGAAAAAAGAAAAAAATGGTAGTGAATATCAGTGTGGATTTAATGCTGAGGATTAAGCTATTAGTTGCTAGATTTTTAAGAATTCCTTATGTCAGTGGACATAGCGCTAGTTCCGTAGCCAGGGCCATGTACCTTATCTGTGCAAGTACCTAGTTTTATCCCCAGCACTGCACGCCTCACCCCACCACCCAGGGTGGGCTATATCTCTCAAGGTCCCCCTCTATTTCCTAGATATAACCATTCATTAGAAGATTCCCAGACCCTATTAAGGATACACTTGAGCCCTTTTATTAAAATTTAATTTTATTTATTATAGTTTAAGAAGTTATAACAGTATTAAATGTATGGTACATATAACCTTACTACACTTTCCAAGCACAAAGTATCCACAATCCTCCACCACTGTCTTTATTTCTCTTCTAGTCTGAGTTTCTCTTTCTACTTCCTACTCTGTTTGGTAATTGATTCTATATTCCTATGTCAAGGCTTAGTTATTGCTCAGTGCTACCTATATTAATATTTTGCCTCTCTGTTCTCTGTAGACGAGTGAGCTCATCCCTTGGGACTTTTTAAACTATTATTAAATGTCAGAGAACAGTGGTGGTTATAAAGGTAGTTGTTGTCCACAGAGCTCAGAAACCCAGATCACCTTGCCATAGAGAACCATGAGCCTAAATCGTCTCCAGCCCATGCAGTACAAAGTTTGTGTATAATGAAATCAGTAAAGCAGCCAAGGTTGCAATTCATTTTTCATCATAAGATGCTGTGTTGTTTCGCTGGGCAGGTAGTAAAGAATGCTTTGGAGCAGTTCCACCTGACTTCCTGAGGGGTAAAGGGGCTGTTGAAGTTTGTGGAGTGGAGGGCAAGTTGTGAGAAGGCTACACATGAGATTCTCTTGGGAAGAGTCTCTGGGGGTTTTGTAAAAGGCAGCTTTCCTGTGTGCAGATTACAGCAGCAGAGATGGGGCAAATGGAAATTGTTTACCCATGTCCCCTTGAGACCACAAACCACCTGTTCACATAGACTTAGAGCAGTTGACAAGTAACAACCAGTGCCGTTTCTCCTTTGTCCTGCATTTGTCCCAGCACAGGAATAAGCACTGCTCTAGGAGTTTCTTCCAAAAGGTATGTTTGGTGTACAAAGTGGAAAGAAGGACAGGGAACTCCTATCATGTCCCCATATTTTTCTTGAGTCACACTTTAGTTAGGGATCACCCCTCAAAGGCCACCATAATTTCATATACCAGGGCTAATAGCAGAACAAATTAGGAATGAATGAACCTCCTATTCCAGATACTGTTTATGTCAAAGAACCCCCAAAGACAGCCAAGCCCATCTTTTCACCCACTTCCTCGTCAGGTTCTTTCATTTGGTTTTGTGTTGTCCCTCTATGTGAAATTTGTATGTGGATTGTTGGGGGAGGGAGGGAGTCATCACATTCTATTGATCTGATGACATGTTGGCTCTAAAAGGAAAAAGAAAAGGCTATGTTTCTAGTCTCTCTCTGGAAGACCACAAAAGGTTAATGCTGGTCATGCAGAAAGATGTTCAAATAAAGAGGAAGTAGCTGCTCCCCTCAAAGGCCTAGTGCTCCATCTGTGCGTAAATGTGTATGTGAGTGCATGTACGCACATGAGCGCGCGCGCGCACACACACACATACACACACACACACACACACACAGCTGGCCCCATGTAGCCCCATGCACCACTGCACTTGAGTAAACCAATTCCCCGGTGATCCTTCTGAAGATGAGGTGCTTTCTAAAAAGGGGTGATGGTTTCCATGTTGGCAGCCTTTACTCCTTCTGCTCTTTTGTTGAAACCCACTGGTTTGACACAGGCTTATTCAGCCTAGTAGACAGCCCTGCTGCTGACTCGGGGCCCCATCAAAGTGTTTTCTCTCCCCTGGGGGGAGTAGAGTGAGGACAGGTGAAGAGCACATCCGTGGCTTGGCTTCCGCTGCCAGGGGCCTGGCCTAGTTTCCACTGCCCTCCCACCCACCCTTGGCAACCTGCCCTTCGCCCCCTTCTAGTTAATCAGAGCCACAGAGTTGAACAGGAATTTGATACCCCTTCCTCTCTGCAGACCCCCCCTCCCTAATCTCCACAGTGTCTGGCCGTGTTTCCCACGCCCCCAGGCTGGGTTCCCTTTTGCCTGTTCCTCCTGCCAAATAGCCCAGACCTTTCCATAGATGTCCCCAGTCATGGGGCCCTATACATCTAAGGCCTCTCGACTTTTCAGAAGGGAAATCCTTCAAAAAGCTCTGCTTTTCAGAGCTTTTTTTTTCAAATCCCCCATCCCCCTCCCAAGCTAGGTGGCTTCTGTCCCAAGTGGTTCAGACTGCTTCAAGCTGCAGAAATAAGGGGGGGGGGGGCTACAATGTGCAAAGTAGAAAGAAATAGCCTCCAACTCCTGAACCAAATCTCCATATTAAATTTAAAACAATACTTGAAGTTGGGTTTGGTTGTTTAAAAGAGTCATTCAGGAAAGCAAGAAAGTAAATCCCTCAGGACAAGTAAAACTTGAACTTTGGTATCTCTCCTTGGCTGGGTTTTTGGTTTGCAGCTGATGGCCAGATAGCAAAGACAAAAATCTCTAAAATAAACTCATTATTAGGCTTACTGCATCAATTCATTACCACAGTAGCTATTCACAACCAAATATTTCTCTTTTCTGGAGCAAAGTAAGATTAGTATTCATTTCAACCTTATTTCTTTTCTTCCATTGAGGAAGAATTTTAAATAGTCATCTGAAGACCTTTTTTCCCCTTGCGCATACTTATTTACATGGCCCTAGGCCTCTGGAGTGCCACAAGATACAATCAGATGAGTTGGCCAGTGTTGCAAATGCTGTTCGTGCTTCTACTTCTGATTTTCCCTCCTCCTGTTTCTCTAAAATACTCTTGGAATGGAAGGTCTGTCTGAACAAGAACCAAGAAATATCTGTGTCCAGGACATAGACACAGAACAAGAACCAAGAAATATCTGTGTCCAGGACATAGACACACACACCTTTAGGGACAGATTTGTATTATTCAGCTACTCATGGGCTCTATTGTCCGGATCATGAGCTGCGAGTCCGCTTGTCCAGAACTTTCCCAAATGGCACCACCATCCAGTTGTATAGCCTTGGCCTTTGTGGTTTCATGCTAGTTATTCAACTGTTCTAGATCTCAGTTCTCTTGTCTGTGAGTACCAGTATAAACTTATGTAATATAATACTAAGTAAGTCATGTTGTGAAGACTAACCAAGACTATTCCGTAAAACACAGGCCAGACCGCTGGTAAGCTTTCCCAAAGTGGTATATGCTGTTTGCTCACAGTATGGGAATGAACATAAAAGAGGAAGTTGGGTATAAAATAGTTGGAGATCAGAAGACCTCATTTTGGAAGTGACTCTATGTCTTCTTTGCTGTTCATCTAGGGAAGCTGAATTTTCTAGACATTTCTGTGCCTGAAATTTGAGGCTGATTTGCATAGAATGAGCAATAATACTTGGTAAAGCATACCCCTAGTTAACTGAGTTTGCAGGTGCTGTTATTAAAGTATAAGTGAGTTCAAAAGGAGATTATATATCTCTTTACTCTGTTTTGTGGCAATAGTTAAGTAAGGAAAACAAGCATTATCTTGGAAAACTGTCTTCCTGTCCCTTGTTCCTGAGGAAATTGCCATACCTCTCAGAGCTCATTTTCCTCTCTGAGAAATATTGATCAGTGTCTGTGTAGATCCTGAAACTTACTAGACTTAGGGGATCAACAAGCAATAAGATCCTAGAAAATTGGAAGCTGCAGTGGGTAGGTCCCAAATCCCGCTAGATCCCTGAGTATAAATCCAGGAGTAATCACTGAGCACCACTGGGAATGATGCAAAAACAAAGCCTATATATATAGAATATATGTGTATGTATTCCAGAAGATTCTCCTGAGTTCAGGGTATTAAGGTTTCCAGGGCAGAGAGATAATACAGAAGATAACGTGCTTGCCTCACATGCTTGCACGAAGCTATCCTGGGTAAGATTTCTGAGCCCTGCCAGTTATAACACAAAAACAACAAAATAATTCAAACATTAAGAGTTCTATAGTGTCACTCTTATGAGTTTATTATCAGTTATCTGAAAAATGTGTTTCCTCTGAAAAGTGATTTTTCATAGCAAGAGTAAAGAATTTTTCTCCTAATAAACATTTTTTAACTTTGAAAAGAGGGAAGAAAATGGCACCATTCCATAGGGTCATTTCCTGGATTTGGTCAGAATTCCCCACTTGGCACTTATTTTATACTGTTAAGAACTGATGGATGACATTCTACCAGAAATTGAAACTGAGTTTTTTTAATGAGTTCTCTGCATTTTTCTGTCTTGATTCATGATGTCAAAAAGTGCAGAAAAAAACTAAGTTAGTATAAGATTTTTAATTATGTGTACTAAAGAAGAGAAAAGATGGTCAAGTTTACAGTCCTTAAAGCTTGGAAATATGCTGGGCTCACTTCCACACCTTCATCCCATCCCTTTGATTATTATCTGTTTATAAACACATTCTTTGATGGTAGAAAATATGTAAATAAAAGAGCAATAGAAACTGTCAAACTAATCCTTACAATTCAAGAAGTCACTTATATGCTCATCAGGACTTTTAAATTTTATATCTATGAAATTTCAGTTTTAAGATTTCTTCTTTTGATATAAAAAGAAGCATGAGGCTTCCGCATTATTAGCTATAGGGGAGGGTGGATCCTAAGGTTTGTGTGGTTTTTTGCTTTTAGATTTTAATTCAGTTGGGCCAATGGCGAGCAATTTAAAAAGGGAAAAAAAAATATCTAAGCTGTTGAGATTTAGTCTTTGATATAGTTTTTGGAGTAAATTTTGTAGTTTGTTACTCATTGCCTGGCCAAGCAATAAATCTATTTTGCTTGGATCTGAGTAGCAGTTTTATAAAAAAAAAATGTTTTAAAGTCATATTGACAGTAATAGCTTAAAACATAAAATTGTTTTTATTCCCAACTTGGAGAAATTGCAAGGCATGTTTTGTTTAGGCAGTCCTTTTGACTCCAGTCTGAATACAAATGGAATACCAAAATGGTTGGGCATGTTCCCCCTTATCTCCTACCCAGTGACTGATTTCATTACCATAATTGCAGGCTTGCCTGGCTCTTGGCAGTTTCTACCCTCGGAGACCCTTAATAGCCTTGCAGACGATTGTTGCGGCTCAGTTCCTCTGTCTGCCAGTGGGGCAGGACTGGAGAGGAGAAAGACTCCTCCTTGTCACCATCTGGCTCCTGCTGTACCACTTAGCTGTACTCTCCTTCTACCCTTGGCCTTTCAAGGTTGAGAACGTATCCCACTCCCTGTGAACCTCTCGTGACAATCTTTTTCAGTTAGCAGCAATGGTACAGAATGCATGGTGTATTTTCTCTCTTCTTTCCCCTTCTTGATGGCCTTAACTGAAAGCTCTATAATTACTTCTGCAGGGACGCTACAAGATGGGAGTAATGGGAGTAACATGAGATCAAGCCAATGAAGCCCTCCTAAGTACTACATTCCAGTGGAATGCTCTACTCTGAGGTTGGAGGTCACACACTTGACCTTGAGAGGACCACTGAAGGCCCCAGGCCCACTCTATATAGGAGAGCTTCATTTGAAGGTCTAGTGAATAGAATACAAACTTCTCCTTCACTAACACAGAAGAAAGGGGCTGTTTGTCTCAGGGATGGGCACACCCTGGTGTCTTTTGGCAGAGCTTCTCAGCAACTCTCTCAGATGTCGGGTTAGGGCAAAACTGGAAATGCATCTGCCCAGTACATCTTGCGCTGATTACTTGGAGTGCATGTTTCTGATTCATTTGCACATAACTCATCCAGGGGGTGTTGCAAGAGCTATGTGATGGCCAAAGAACCCAATGAGTCTTTTATTATATATTTTTAAACAAGTTTCTCTACGTTGAGTGTCTGCTAGAGCCAAGAAGCTACATTCTTCCAACCCTGTGCCTTCCAAACTGGGCACCCGAAGTCCAAGAGCAAGTTTGAACCTTGGCTCTGTGACTGTCTGCTCTGACCTGGAGGATTGGTTGAGTGCTTGCACTGGATCTGAACTATGGGATGAGTGAAAATTTACAGCTGTGGAAGCTTAGATCTTGGGAGTCTCGTGCCCATATTGCCACAGAGCCTCTAGCATCCAGTCCCTAAAAACATTCTTGACCTCTTTGCATCCATGACCATGTGAAGGTACCTCTCTTTACCTACGTTTTTTGAGAGACAGTGAAGTGAAGTTGCAGGAGAATTTTGGAGCGAGACCACCCACACCTACCAGTTACTGGTTTTGTGACCTTAGGCAAATTGTTAGCTTTCAAGTGTGCCAGTTTTTTTTTTCTGTTTGTAAAATGCTATCTGTTGCTGTGTAGTAGCCAACAAAAAATGGATTGAAACAACAATCGTTGAATTGTTCATGGTTCTGTGGGTCAGAAATTTGAGCAGAGCTTGGGAAAACTTGTCTTTGTTCTACATGGTTCTACTAGGAAGTCCTGGATGGTCATGGAGGTGGTCACTTGGCAAAGGCACCTCAGTTCTCTTCTACATGGGTTCTCTCTTCACATGACCTCAATGTGTGCACTATCCAGACTGGATTTTCCTTATACTGTTAGGAACATCCCAAGAGAATGAAAAAGATAATGAACAGGAGCTACAAGGCTCATAAGGTTGTTACCGTCACTCCTAAAACACATGATCCTTAAAGTCGGTCACAAGACCAGTACAGTTAGAAAGAAAAAGAAGATAAATTCACCTTTTATGTGGGAGATAAATCTCATTTAATAGAAGATGGAAAGGAATTAGCTGTAGCTAATTTTTCAAATTATAGGGGCCTATAAATTAGGTCCAGCAATTACAGGGACCTATCAATAATAAAATTATAAGAATTAAATAGGAATAGATGAAAAACTGAGATTAGTAACTAGAACAAAATTAGAACAGTCAACAAGTATTCAGTATTATTGCATACAAATTTTGTAATTTTGAAACTCTAAGAAAATATGTTGTACCTGCTGAGTCTTTTAATTAAAGATTTCCTGGCAATGTGATTGCTGGAAAATCCGAGGCCTTCATGGTGAAATGACTCTTCTCAATCTGAGGCCCTCATGCATCAATTCTACATAGTTTTGGGGCTCAGTTGGACCATTCCTGGATGTTTTTCATCCTTTGTCACCATGCAGTGCCCACTTTCCTTCCAGAGGGATGCATCTATCATAATCTCTGTTCTCTCAAACTGTCTTCCAAGGGCCACTCTACTTGGAGATTGGTGCCTCCTTATTGACCCTGGACTGTTCTGAATTCTTCAGGTCACAATAGAGGTGGTGGATGGCCCTGACTCTGAAGCAGATAAAGATCAGCATCCAGAGAATAAGCCCAGCTGGTCAGTCCCATCCCCCGACTGGCGGGCCTGGTGGCAGAGGTCCTTGTCCTTGGCCAGGGCCAACAGCGGGGACCAGGACTACAAATACGACAGTACCTCCGACGACAGCAACTTCCTGAACCCCCCCAGAGGGTGGGACCGTCCGGCCCCAGGCCACCGGACTTTTGAATCCAAAGAGCAGCCAGAATATGGTGAGTTTACCACCCAGTAATATAAAATTGGTGGGGAGAAGAAGTAAAGATGATAAGGCCTAATGGACATGGAGCCAAGAAAAACCCAATTTATAGTATGTGGCTTTGGGACTTCTAGGAGGCATAACTCATAAAGACTATTCCACAGAAGCCCCAAGGAGGTACCAGCAGCCATGTTTTTCTGGGAAGACTATAATTTTAAAATCATTACCAATTATTGTAGGAGAGAATTGTTCTTTTTTGTAGTTAGGGGTCTTTGAGGTTCTGCCTTTTTATTCCCACAAAAAAAATTATTTTCTAAACATGAAGAAATAAAATTAAATTACTTTAATTTGACTATATAAGTTCACATTAAACATCAGTCTAATAAAAGAGAGATGTCCAGAGAGATATCCAATGGCTCTATTTGACAAGGCAGCCATGTTATATTTGAAAAAAGAGTGGAGTGGCCCATAGGGCTCATAGGGAATATCCATCACTCATAGCTCTATGCATTATCAAATGACTCAATGACTCTCCACCAGCAAAGTTCAAGACCCCAACTTTGATCTTCTAACCATAGATGTTTTTAGAGTAGGATAGGTAAGATAACTTCTAAATGCAGTGACTTAAGATAATTAAAATTGAGGACCAGAGAGATACAGGAATCAAGGAGTTTCTCTGCATTCCACTAATCCTGGTTCAAATCCTCAGCACCACATATGGTACCCAAGCACCTCCAGGAGTCACTTCTGAGCACAGTAATAATTACTGAGAGTTGCTGAGTGTGCCCCAAAATATCATCACAATAACAATAATAAAGTTTATTTCTCCTTGAGCTGGGATGGGAGACAGTATAGGGGAACTAACCTTCACTTTGTGAGAGACCCGGACTTCTTCCGTCTTGCAACCCCACCAGTTGTTATGGTCTGAGTTGTATCTACTACAGTGTTTCTTGACTATTTTCCAACTGGGACCCCTTTGGACTGTTTTAACTACCTCTGGCTCCATCTAGCCTCCTGGTCTCATGATGCAATAGTCTCCCATTTACATGATTTTCCCCGTGGCCCCTTTATAGCATCTTGAGGGCCCACAGGAAATCGTATGATTCCCAATTGTACCTGATCTACCTAAAGTTCTATATCTCAGTAGCAGCCAAGGAAAGAGAAGGAAGCTGAAAAAGGTACACCACAACCTCAATCTGGAGATTATATATGTTTTATCTGCTTAAATTAAGAATTATTCATGTGGCTTTATGCATATACAACTATGGCTGAAAATCATATCCAAGAAGAGGAAGCCTATTTGACAAGCTGCTGGTCAACCTTCATGGACAATCAGAGAGTGTGTTACATGAACATTTGAGAGGTTGGTGTACTTCAGGCACTTGTCTTGATTCGGCTGATCCCTAGTAGATCCCTAGTGTCATAAAGTGCTTTGAGCATCACCAGGTGCAGTCTTGGTGGCCCTCAATTATCAACCAGGTGCTTCAGATCACCCCTGGTTCCACAGGACACCATTGCCCTTGCACTGAACCATCACCAGATTGAATGAGAATCAATCTTGAGCACTGCTTGAGAGATGCTCCCCTCTAAAGTTAGAACATTTGAGGGATGGGAGGTAGCTCAAGTGGGAAAGCACATATTTAATATAACCAAAGCCCTGAATTTGATCCCCTATGACACATGGCTTCTTGAACACTGCCAAGTATGACTCTGCTAGCTCCCCAACACTCTACTGGCTCACCAGGCCCAAGCGCCACATTGCCAGGTATGAACCTAAAGGTTGAAATCATCAGACCAAGCATAATTGAGAGTATGGAAAAATTAAATATATATATATATATATATATATATATATATATATATATAGTAGTGCCAGGAGATAGTAGAGTAGTTAGAATGATTGCTATTAAGTGCCAAAACCAGTTTTGATGTCCATGTGGTTGCCCTAGTGTTGCCTTGGGTAGCCTCGAATAGTGCTGGAGGCCCCTGTGTTCTGTCTGGGTGTCCCTGGTGATCCTCAGCATCGCAGCACACAGCAGCACTGTATCCTTGGATGCCAGCATTGGGCCACCAGCCCGGTTAACTGAGAATCACTGGGAGAGTCCCCAAAGTTCCCTGAGCATACTTAGGAATCTTCCTCCCAAAATAAAATTTAAAAATAATACTGTTTGAGGTGTTGGGCATGAATCTAGCATTAAGCTGTTCTTGTAACTTCATCATTTTTTCATTTAGAAGCCAACTACAGATGATGAGAATGACTGTCCAGCACCATTTGCATTCACACTTTTACCTAGTTTTTTTCTGCAGAAAGGTTTGTTGTGTATTAGACGGTCTGCTAGTAGATGATCCTAAGCAGCTCCAAAGAGCAGGACAGTGTTTGGGTATTTTTCCAACTACATCATTGAGTTGCTTAACATTAGAAAGAGTACGTCTTGTGTCTGGCACTGTGTGAGATGCTAGGAATTCAAAAATGGCTAAGACATTGCTCTTTCCCAAAAGGGAATCTCAGCTATCTGTGGACCAAGGGGGAAAAATTAACTGAGAGACCAAAAGGGTGCCCTGATAGAGATATACATCAAATATTAAGGAGCCAAATACTATGAAAGCTCTGCTGCCTCCATTCCAGCCAAGAAGCTGGTGAAAGCTTCTCGTTTCCCAGCGGAAGTGTAATTTGTCTGTCTTTTAAGGGAAAGTCACATTTATATAGCACTTTTCATGCACTGTCCCTCTCCATGATCTTTGAAGCAGGTACTCCATTTGACAGATGGGAAAACTGAATCCTGCCATATTAGGCAAGTCGACCTTGAGCTTCAAACTATCTCAGTCAGTTTCAGTCCACAGTCTTAACTCTTATGTTATTGTCCTCTCTGGGTGGGTGGAGACTGGAGGGATCGTAGATCCTTAAGGAGAGAAGAGTGAATCAATAGACTGTTTAGATGGAAAGATACGAGTAGAAGAACAAGTTCATTGAACTGGTTTTTAGTTTAACCAGTTTGCCCACCCTACACAGGACATAGTTTCTAAGAATAGAGCTCAAACTCCTGCCATCAAAATCGCTGGTTGAATGTTTTAAAGATGCCAGTTCTTGGCTCAAACACTTTTCCTATGCCAGCCCAAGCCAGCTACATCAGCATCAGTTGAGATCCTGAGAGGATTTCAGATTTCCAGTCCTTGCCCCAGTACCCCTAGATCAGATACATTGGAGTGATCCACAAAACCTGTGTTTAAGCAAACCCTCCAGGGGCTCTGCTGCATTGAGCATCGCTATTTGAGGTCAGTTTCTCAGCCTGGGTTGCTCACTACTGTCATCCAGTGTATTTGATTTGTTTTGTTTTGTTTTGGGTTTTTTTTTGTATATTTTTAATTTTTTTTATTTTATTGAATCACCATGAGATATAGTTACAAGCTTTCATATTTGAGTTACAATCACACAATGATTAAACACCCATCCCTCCACCAGTGCACATTCCCCAGCACGAGTGTCCCCAGTATACCCTCCCCTTTCCCACCCTCCCAATATTGCAGACGATATTCCCCATACTCTCCCTACTTTGGGGCATTACGGTTTGCAATACAGATCCTGAGCATCATCTTTGGTCCTTAGTCTACTTTCGGCACACATCTCCCATCCCGAGCAATCCCTCCAACCATCATTTACTTACTGGTCCCTTCTCCATCCCAACTGCCTTTTCCCCCAGCACATGATGCAGGCTTCTAACTATGGAGCAATCCTCCTGGCCCTTGTATCTACTGTCTTTGGGTGTCAGACTCATTTTATTTTGTACTCCACAAATGAGTGCAGTCCTTCTATGTCTGTCCCTCTCTTTCTGGCTCATATCACATAGCATGATACTCTCCATGTCCATCCAGTGGATTTGTTTTAAAATACCTCTGTCCAGACTTCTTTTGACCCAATAAATTAGCTTCTCTGTGGAGTGAGGTCTCGGCTTTAATGTTTCCAAAGCTCTACGATGGAGCCAGTGTGCATCCCAGGTTGAGGCCTGCAGCTTTCTTTGTGCTGAAGCAGGATGGCCGGGCCGATGTCCAGAATACCTCTTTGTTTTGCTTGTTCATTTTGACAACTGAGGTCACCAGGTGATTCTCAAGCTCACTAAAGTTTGAAAAGCACCTTGAGAAAAACTTTTTCATTTTGAAGCTTTTTTATAACACTGTAGCACTATAGCACTGTCCTCCTATTGTTTATTGATTTGCTCGAGCAGGCACCAGTAACATCTCCATTGTGAGACTTGTTGTTACTGTTTTTGGCATATCAAATGTGCCACAGGGAGTAAGCTTACAGAGTAAACTCTGCCAAACTCATGACTGTTACAAAAGAGTCCCCCTGAGGCCAAAGAGATAGTACAAGGGATAAAGCATATAGTAACTTTAGTTGTTCCCTGGCACACTACTTATGATCCCCTAAGTGCAACTGGAAGAGATTCTTGAGCACCACTGGTTATCAAACCCCTGCCCCCCCCCCAAAAAATATTTTTTTGCTTTTTTGGGTCACACCCGACAATGCACAGGGGTTACTCCCGGCTGTGCACTCAGGAGTTACTCCTGGCGGTGCTCAGGGGACCATATGGGATGCTGGGAATCTTACCCAGGTTGACCACGTGCAAGGCAAATGCCCTACCCACTGTACTATCACTCTAGCCCCCACATTTTAATCTTAAAGACAGAATTTGTCCTTACTGAGTTAGTGTTGTTTCTGAGCTTCCCTCAGCCCCTAAATGCCTGTGAGGTCCCTGTCTGAACCTTATAGCCATCTTGAGCCATTGAGAAATCTCTCATCTTTCATGATTTCAAGACTCTTGGAAACTTCCCCATCAGTTGACCAAATAACAGAGTTGCCATTTAAGAAAAGAAAAAAACCATGTGTCTTGTATGCCCTGTAGAACACTCCTTGTCAGATCTTATGGGCACATAATAGAGGAAAGGAGAGATACTCCAAATTCAACTTTGGATACAGTTTAAGTAGGAAAATGGCAGGGTCCCAGATACAGTGGACCCCAT